CATTTAAAATTGAATGAAATATTTAATGTCAAAATAATCCAATTTGAACTATAAACTAGTAAAGAATTTGATTTGTTGAAAATTCTCACACGCTTATCTCACATAAGAAAGTTATGAAACTTTGGTGTGGTTTGTATAGTGTAAGGTTGTGAATTGGATTTGGGCCACAAGCGTATCAATAGTTTTTGAAAGGGGGGAGACCTATATCCTATTGGATTCGGTCCAAACCCCACATGCGCGCCGCCGCCGTCCGTCCGTCCGGCCGGCACGTCACGAGCACCTGCCCGAGCCCGGTCCAGTCCGGTGCTTGTGTGTCCTTGTACTATATTATCTTTTTAGTCAAAATTTATTTAATTTGGACCAAATTGTAATTAATCAAATTCTTGGGTACTTAATAAATTATTAATAGGCTTATTTTCGGGTAATAATTTTGGATGGTCTGTTAACCGACTTTTAACCGAACCATGGTGTCTGTTCGATTTTTTGGGACTTGTCTGAACAGTGACGACTGTTCTAAAAAGGCTCGAAGGATGTTCGAATGGCCACAAACGATTCTATAAATTGCCAGCCCCACTGCCAAAATAATTACACCATTTTCAATGCAATTATTCTCTGCATTGAATCTCATTCTCCCCCTGTCTCATTCTGATATTGTTTTTCGAAGTAAATACACTTTATTGAGTTCGTTGGAATTCCTGCAGATTGTTGTGCTGCTTCCGTAGGAGACGAAATTCGTTATATTCTAGAAAACGATTGTTGAACGCCTTTAGCACATTTGAAGACAGCAAATTCGTTTTAAGGAAACACCTTGAAGTCGGTGTGCTCGAATTGTTTTTTCTGATCCTGTTATCATACTGTTACGCTATGCAATTACGTCGGATTGTTTGAAGGAGAAACTTATACTCCAGAATCAACCGTTTTCATCATCCCAAAGTCATTTTCCAAACCAAACTCCCAATTGTTAATGAAATTTGATCTCCATTAATTAGGACTCTTTAAACCAAAATTCTTTTAGACTTCTTCTATTCAACCAAACACCAGATCATGTGAAATTTGGGTCACACCACAACATCTTTTTATATTGATAATCCAAAAAATACACCCACAAATGAATAGAGTAAATGATCTCATCAACTGTCCAGGCGGTTTTGCGTAAATTTGACTTGTTTTTGCACCTCAGTGGGTGAAATGGAAATTTCATCACGCACATCTACTTCATTTTGATCTTCCTGCTCTTGATGTTCTTCAGTGATCTCATCATGACCTCCACTACGAGAAGTAAATTCTGCAAGAGTTGGCGTTCGTTGATGGTAGGAGACATTCGGGGAAGGAGTTTTGCTGTTGCTCCACGACGTGGTGGAGTCATCTTTTTGAGACTGTGAGTAGAATTTTTGCTTCCTCTTATGCTTCACGTCTGCATGCCATTGTTTAATTACATGGGCTGTGTGTTGTTCCAGTATTGCACTTTTATATTGAGAACCCATCTGAATATATATGAAGAACAAGTTTTAGAACCATTTGTGTCAAGGAAATGGAATATTGGAGAATACTAAAGACGTTCTTCAAATTGTGAGCTTTGAATTGTTTTAG